TATACATACACAGAAATTAACAAGGAAAACAAAAGGCTTTTAAATCTTTCTCATATAACCAAATGATATCTACATACAGTCTTATGTAGTAAATTACTGAAACAATCCATCTGTAGTTTTTGACCATATTCCTTTCTGTTCCATAATTAGTGAAAAGGATTTTGATTTGTCCTTGCAAGTAAGTCTTTTTTTTCCTAGTTATATATTACTGTTGGAAAATTCTCATCTAAAGGGAAAAATGATATAAAGATTATACATAAATACACAGACTAAACTATCAATCTTTGCAGTCTCCTTGCTTTTAAAATGAGATTAGCACACAGAACCAAATGCTGAATCTCAAACTTTAGGATAAAAATAAATCCAGCTAAAAGTCAAACCTTGCCATAAAAAACCCAGTGGTTATAATATTTAAAATTTCTTTGTAAAATATAACTATTGAAAATTACATCCATATCACAAATATTTCTGAAAGTGGATCCCATCTATTTAAGCTAAATGGGTTTCTATCACATGCATTTAATATTGTGGCTTGAATGTGTACTCTTGGTAATAAGTTAAAGCTGCTGAGCATGTTAATGTAATTTACACTAATTTGAATGTTTAATCATGGTCCATGGAATAGCTTACAACTGGCAGGATTTGATCAAAAAGTCAAGCCATAAACCTTGATTTATAAATCACAATGCTCTAGCTAACAGATCACATGAAAGTAGAATCAGGCAAACCACATTATGCCTTAGGAGAAAGAAAAGCCCAGACTTGGAAACAAGGGAAGACAAGCCATTTCAAGCTTTCAGACATGCAAATTCCTACTCTCATATTAACTGATATTTGCAATGACTAATGATCCTAATAATTCAGGGTCATATAAGTTAGATTCATCTCAAGAATATAATTGTTATTCTTGGAAGTTCAGTTTTTCTGCTAAGAAACAATCATGTTAATTCTAACCTCAGTTTTACCTAGGATTTTCAAGAATTTGAAGATGCATGCCTACATACACATTGACACACAACTATATTTCCAGTAAAACCGGCAATGCAGATTTATCCTCAGGTAACCAACCTTAAAAAACTAATCCCATGTATGTATACTTGGCAGAAAGTAAGTTTAGTGGTGTTTAATCTCAGCAAGCTGCTACAGGAAGATCTCATAAATTCAGTGTATTGAACTGTTATGAAAAACCAACAGCACAGGCTGGATACTAGGTGAAAGAGAAGTAAAATGTAGTTGCATTTTCCTTCCTCTGCCATTGGAACCTGGCTTACTTATCACTATTGTTCAAGCCACTTAAGTTCTTATGTTGTAGAAATCTTTGCACTGGTTTAAAGTCAAAACATTCTCATAATACCTAGTTCACAGAATAAGCAAAGGTTTTCAGTTAAAAGCATCGACCAGTGTTCAAATTAAGAAAAAAAAAAGGTGCTTTTGTTACACATATAAAATGCTTTTCCCTTATAGCCAAAACCACGGCCAAACTTTGAGATAAAATAAAAATATTTAGGCCTAAAAACCAGCAAGAGATCTTTTCAACAGGAAGTTAGCTTGTCAGTTTCCCTAAGTATTCTTTCATCTTAATTCCCAGTCTGTAAAATGGAAACAGTGCAGGTTGTTCAGAAAGCTGTGAATATGGCATATTTACAACAGAACTGCAGAGAGAGAGAGACAGACAGACAGACAGACAGACAGACAGACAGACAGAGAACAAATTGATATATTTCAAATTTCAATGGTAAATAAAACATATTTTGAAATGCTTAGGGCTAGGTCTCTTTGGCTAGGTAATCCATCACTTTTTAATTAAATCCTATCTGCTGGGTTGGAATCCTCTTGCATTTCTAAGATCAAATATACTGGAGGAAGGGGAGAGAAGACACTCAGACTACATGGTGATGGTGTCCCCTTTGTTCTCCAGGTCATTTTGAGACAGACTGACGGGAATAAGTCCCCTAGACATTCCCACTCCCTATGGTTTAGTACCCTAATTGAGCGGTCCTCACTGACCTGGATACTTATCTAAATAAATGCTCTGTTTCTGGTGGATTTGACTTTCTTCTCCAAAAACAAAAACAATTGTCTGTTTGGAGAGGCACATGGCCTTGATTCTCCCCAGCCTCTACCTGAGACGTCCATTACTCTGGGGAAAGTTATGATATCATCTTGACATTGTCACACATGCGCAAGGTTGGAGCTGTTTTCTTCCCGTAAAGGCTTTTTGCCTGGTAGATCAAAATCATTTCCCACTGAAGTCTACTTTTATTCCACAGTTTAATTCTTTCCGCCCCCTTCTGTCTCTTGATTTTCTTTTATGTTTTTTTTTCAGTTGGAAGAGGATTTTTTTTGGTCAGAGTTAAAACTTAATTGTGCCAGATCCTCTCCAGCACCAAGGAAGACTCTTTATCTCTGATCTCCGCTGTCCAAAGCTGTTCAGCAAAGATCTGTGTGGTCACATTCAGCTGAAAAAAATGTGTGAGAGAGAAAGAGAAAGGTGTGAAAGGAAAAAAGGAGTGGAGAAAAAAACAGACAAGATTGGAAAGGAAAGGAAAGACAAGGAAAGGAAAAGAGAGGAGAGGAAAAGAGAGGAAAGGAAAGAAAAAACAAGGGAAAGACAAGAAAAGGAAAGACAAGGAAAGGAAAGACAAGGAAAGACAAGGAAAGGAAAGGAAAGACAAGGAAAGGAAAGGAAAGGAAAGACAA